CTGTCCATTTGGTATTAGAGTGGACCCAAGGTATATTTGAAATCAGGCACTTCCTCAACCGGCAATGAATTTACAAAAAGAGGTATTTTATCAGCTTCTTGCACATAAGACGAAAAGACTTTCGTTTTATTTACATTGATCCTGAGTCCGATTCTTGCTGCAGTTTCTGACACGTTATTTAGTATTACTTGCATTTCCTTATAACTGTCAGCAAAAAGGACTACATCATCAGCGTAATTCAAGATCTATGATACAATGCTCTGGACTAATTCGGACACCTCTTGAATGCCGAAGCAATGTCCATTATCCAGTCTATCGCATAGTTGAATATTGTAGGGGAAAGGACGCAGCCCTGACGGACACCTGTTCTTATTTCATCTTACTTTTAAAAATAAAAAATATGAAAAAATAAATCATAGTTCATAATTAGATCGTAGTTCAAATTTAAAATTATAATAATTAAGAACAGGAGTGATAAAAGCAATGCGGTCAATTAGTTAATAATGATAAATTAATTTCCCGGATTTTTTTCTGAATTGTTAATCACCATCACATTGTTAATCACTTTCACAAATTCATCCCAGAATAGAATAAAGTAACTTTTGTGTCACAATTCCGGATTTAATATGAATCTGACCGAAGCATTTTTCATACTCCATCGAAATATTAGTTATTCACAAATTCTTAAAAAGATCTAATAATATAGTAAACATAAAACTGTAGGAAAGAAAATACAGTTCAAGAATGTTCCACTTCGATAAAAAAAAATTCTCCTTTTACCAGGCGTATCCAAATAACGTTATTGAAGTGCTCCACTTAATTTTTTTTTGGCATAGATTTGTTGATTCCAGCAGATAAGATAATTTTGATATAATTTGTGTGCTTAAAATTGTTATGTGCTTAAAATTTTTTCTGGTTGATATTTCTTGTAAATTTATTTATTGATTTTCAAAAATTACAATCAAAGTGGAAAAGTGCCTTTTCATCTTACTTTTACTTTTTACTTATTTTTATAAAATGCATTACATATATATAAATTACGGTAGATTAAAATAAATAAATAAATAAACTATATAAATTTCGAATTAATCACTCATTATATAAAATTTGTCTCATAAGACTCATTAAGCAAGTACTTAGCTAGAAAAAGATGCTTATTTACTTTATAAAAACAAGTACTATACGCATTGCTTAGACCAATATTTCTTTACTGACACTTTTGAAAAATTCTAGTGATGGTGAAGACCTGCTTATATTTGAAATGGCTTTCTGATAAAATTGCCTCATGCCAGCAGCCGGTTAAGCAAGTCTAACTAGAAATGATCAGTGCTAGCCATTTACTTATATTCCAAGCAAAAAATAATTTAAATAAAAAACAAATCTAAATTCATATAAACTCATTGGACAATGTAGAGAATAAATTAAATTCGCAAAAGAATGAAGATTGAAAAGAAACAGAAATTTTGAATATTATGCGGTATCAAATCAAATGAAAATGAGTCTTAAAATGCAAAATTTTCAGCCGCTTTCTCTCATTTGAGTCAGAAGCTCTTTATTTCCTTCATTGAGAATTTTTTAGCATTTAGAAATTTAATCGAACGAGTTTGAAATTCGTCATCAACTACTAATTATCAACAATTTTTTTGCTTAATCTCATTCAACTAACTTCTATTTATGTCTATTTCAAATTCCTACCAGTTTATTGGTTTATTTTTCTGTTTTTCTCTTTTAGTATCGTTTAATTAGTAATAAGAGATGAAAATTTATGGCAACAAATTACGACATAGTGATGTTTATGAAATTTCAAGGTAAAGTTTTTTTCTTTTTAAAACTTAATAATTAATTGGTGAATACTTGGTTGCTACAATCGTTTCGAGGTTTATTTCACTATTCCACTAGTTCAAATGAAAAATACATCAATTCTTTAATATGTTTATATAGAGAGAGGCAAGGGGAATATTGCTGCTCGTAGAGGTAAAATTATCAATAAAAAATCCGAATTCTGCTGGTCCACTTGCATTTCTACCATGTGGCTTCTTGGTAAAAAATTTCTCATTGTAAAAATAGTCAGCACCAGAAGTGATGGGCGCTTAATTGATTTTTTTTTCACCAAAAAGAAAATGGCGAATATCTATCTTTTTATCTCCTGAGATATCGCCTGAGATATGTGTTTCAGTAAAAAAAAAACATCGTAAATGCCAAATTTAGCGACTTATCAAATTAATTGGAAATCAAATCAGTATCCATGTCTTTCATTTTTTTTAAAAATTTTCCCATTATCTACGAATTTTTTTTTGAGATAATTTATTAAGATAAATTCGATAAATTGACTTAATAAATTTGACTCTTATAAGGGTATGTTTTTTATCTTTCGTTAGAATATTAAAAAATTATGAATTAAATAAAGCTATTTGTTATATATATATTTGTTATATATATACTTATATATTTTTTTAAAGAGTCTTCATCCTTAATGGTTAAACTCGCTCCGCTGCTTGTCGCATTGGGCAAATATGCCAGAAAGTCCCTTGGCGACGCAAATACGTTGAGTCGCATTCGGTTTTTTGAACAGGTTTATCATGCGGGGAATAGAACCTTAGTATCGTCGCTCCGAATTGAGCGACAACCCACTAAGCCATCTTACCCTCAAATTAAATAAAGCTGTCATTATTACTAATAAAATTAAAAATTTTTATCTCTTGAAATTTCATGAGTATCATTGAAAAAGAAAGAAAAAAGTTATGGAATGACATTTATTTACTAAAAAAATTTTTGCCTAGCCTTTGAAAAAAAGTGCTTACAGCGAATTATTGAAGATTCTATACTTCTGTTTCCGATTGAAAAAAGATTTTTAACGAATAGATTTAACATTTAAATTAATAGTCATTAAAGCCAGCCAAATCGGAAATGAGTGCTTTTAAAAGAATTATTTCTGCTGAGATTTTTATAGCTTTTTATTTCTCGTCATTTTATTGTTTAGTAAGCCTTTTTAGCTGTTCACAATTTAATGTGACATTTGATTTTCATGCATCGTCTCATTTGCATTAAATTAATTTTTCCATTTCTGCTTGGCTGATTGATATTTCTCTGAATAATTCTGAATAAAGTAAGAAAACTCGTCAAAAAAGGATTCTCATTTTTAAATGCAGTAAAATACTTTCTGAGGAATTCGGTTTGATATATCGTCCTCTAATAAGAA